TTAATTTACACTAAGGGAGAGTCCAGGGAAGTTAAACTTAGGTGGGCTCGTAGTGAAGGTGGTTGTTTTCTCTGAGAAGTGGCCAATACTCTAGGGATTTACAGTACTCCCGGTGGGTCCTCAGGTTTGGGGGTCAGTGCTCAAGAATTTGGCTTCCCTGTCCTGAGTCCCAAAGGCACTGTGCATTACAAATAAGTAAAATGAGACGTCTATTTTTCTAGACTGGGGAATCCTCAATACTTCACACTGTCACTCCTGAGCTCCTCAGACTAACTGATTTAATCACTGTTTTAATTGATCTATTAGTGGAATCCCTTTATCAGCCTCAAAGACTCAAAATTACTTGTCTACAGCTAGAGATTCAGACCTGATTGCTGGCCCGCATCTGCAAAGTTAAGGGGCCACTTATGTGGAGTGATCCAAAAAAGGTAACGAAAAAACTCCAGTGCGAAATAAATTGACCTGCCTCAGGGTCTGAAATTCCATCTGTGGTCTTTTCTCCCTGTTTGGAAGAGATCTTGTCAACATAAACATTTTTTCATAGAAGACTTGAGAATATTCCTCATTAATGTATCATCAGCTATTAACAATTAAGCATGAATTAATTTATCAGACACTGTCCGCTGAAGATAGTGTTAGCAAAAATTCAGACGTTCATGAAATAAGTTTTGATGAGCATGGGGAACAAAGAATCATTTTGTGGTAGAAGTCTTTTTTTTTTTTTTTTTTAAATAGAGAAATACACGTTTAGGGTACCTTGTAGGATGGCTCTGAGAAACTCTCCTAGCTTGGGAACGTGAACACCTCTTGACTGAGATTTGTTGTATTCTCTTCCTGATACTATATGCCATGATTCTTAATGTCTGACATTTGGCCCTGGCATTATCTACAGGATAATGATTTAATCAGATATAAAAATATTAATTAAATAATTGATATTTCATTGCTGACCTCAGGATAAATGCATATATCTCCAGAAAATAGTAAATAGTGACATGAGGTTTTAAGTATCCATTGAGAAGAATTTTTCTAACTTATGGATAAAATGGTCTAGGGACAAGTGGACTTTTGGTTGCTTCCAAAAATGTGACACTTGGAAGCCTTCTGCTGCTCCTATGTTTTAAAAGCTGAATGTGATTTTCCAAACTGTTGTCTCATTGGTCACAGATGAGCACCTTGCTTTCAAGTCCTTTGATTATTTTTTGAAGTTGTTCTTGGACCTATGAATTTTATAAAATAATTGAGTCCTTTGGGGATCTTAGTTAACATTAGCACAAACTAATAACATCTAAAACTCAAAAGAGTCTCACAAAGGATTCGGACCCTACCATGTTCTCAGGCTTCGTGGTGATTTCCTCTCCTCTGGGTGAGTACAGTGTTTCAGTATAGTCTGGCCCCAGGAGATGCCTGTAGAGAGCAGAGAGCTGCATGAACCACTCTGGGTGGTAAGAAAGGCAGAACTTCCTGAACTTCAGCACTAAAAAAGTGATAGTGTCTACAATGAGAAATAGCTAAGGTTCTGACCTACTAATCCTCTTCCAATATTGGAGCTCTGCTACTGAAGCAAATCAGAGAGTTAGTTCTTCCTATTAAATCTGAGGGAGGAAGTCCCCTCATCTCCTTCTCATCTGTAGATTCCCTGTCTTCAAACTAGTCATTTTGAGATTTCCTGCACCAAGGACACAACCTCTACAGACTTTGAAGGGTGCTGAGTCACAAATATGCTTATAGGCCTATTGCATTCAGGGAGAAGTTTACTAACTGTTATAAAACTAGGAGGAACCCTATCCCCTGGAATCTATCTCTAGGCCATGCATCTTGAATCAGCCTTGGACATACATTCTCATAAAAGAATAGAAAGCATCATCAAAGTCTTGAGTTTATATGAGTAGAAAAAGATGTTCAGTAAGTTCCCGGAAGGTCAAGGAAGAAAGTCATTTACATATGCCATTCCTTTTGTTTTACACTTTGTATATAATTTCCTAGGAAATCTGCCTTTTTAGCACAAACTAATACCATGTAAAGCTCAAAATGCCTCATGTCTTCTATGTCAAACCACACTAAATGGAGCCTGAAAAAGATTGCTCCCCAATTTCATAACCTAATCCAGTGATTAGACTTTTGGAAGGTACAACTTACTTGGATTTTTGTAGGGAGAGAATGATTTCTTCTCCATTTAAGATCATCTGATATTGAACTTCGGGTTCATACCTTTCCTGAAAACATTTAATTACATCAAACAATTTATATTTCTGAACATAACTAAAATAATTGTAATGATATATGTATATATTAGAAGAACAATTACAAATGCATATAGGATAAAATCAGTTCTCTGGTGTTTTCAAAATATGTAAGACAAAACACATTATGCACTAAAATGGACTTTCAAAAAGTAGAATTATGTGATAATAACACTTATAGATTAAACTAGCTGTAATACATGAGATAGGGACTTCTCATTTGTCCTAATGTACAGTATACTGTCTCAGGATCCCCCAGCCAGGGAATCAAAACAAGGTGTGTATTCTTCTTACTTTAAAACCAAACTAAATACACTTAAAAACAACAACAACAACAACAAAAACTCACAACACACTAAGAATTAGGTAACAATTACAAAATGAGGGAAATACTTGCAACAATGTAATAGTCAAATAATTGATATCTTTAATCAATAGTAGAAATATTGTGTTAACTACGGATACAAAGTTTAATTCTTCACTATTGACAAAACGGCTGAGGAAAAAGACAATTCACTGGAGAAAAGGGGTGGTGGTGAGGCTGGCCAGGAACAACATCTCAGTTAAAGATGGCTGACCTTCCTGGGCTTCTCTCCTCACTCTCAAACTGAGAGAAATGGCTAAGCAGCTTTATCCTTTCTTATCAAGTGACGTTGTTGACTCTGCTGCTTAACCATAGCGGCATTCTGAGAAATTGTGAGCTGTCTCCTGAACACAGGGGAGCTGTATACATGGGCTTCAATATGAAACTATTAGATGGTAACTGTAACATCACTGCTGTTAGTGAAAAGGCTTTTTATTGCCTCTTTGGATGATTGTAACATCTACCACAGTCATTCACCTTGCTTACCTCTTTGCCATGCTTTTCTGTCTGGTTGCTCTCGATCTCTCTTTTGTGTAAAATGTGAAGTTTTATAGGACGAACTATTTCATGGAGCGTTAATTCAGGTGTTTGCTTTATGGCTATTGGTAGAGAAAGAGAAATAATATTCACATAAAAGATTTAAAGGTTTCAGTTTTAGTCATCTTGTGTTTTGTTTTCATTTGTTGGGTTGCTAAAAGGGCAGTGAAGACTACATTCCTATGTAGAGAGCAAACATTAGGAATAACAAATTGATTCTCCTACTTCAGCTTTGATGACAAGGATTTTTTTTTTTTTTTTTTTTTTTGCTCTCCCTCCCCGCATTCTGAAAAGACATGAAGATTACAAAACAGTTCTTCAGATGATCTCTCAGTGCATGCAAACGCTGGACCACCATACCCAGAAAGGACAGGTTATGGATTAAGAACAGGGGTTGTGTGAGCCTAGAATTCTGCCTGTAGTAATCTATTTCCTTCTTGCTTTAGAGTCTTCTTAAAAATCGTGAAATTTTCTCTCAATGCCCTCCAAGACTTTCTTTTTTCTTTTTTATACCCTTTTCCCTCTGAAGCACAACTCCTGACTATACACTCTAAAAATAAAATTTTTCCTTTGTATATAATACTTTACTTTTAGGAAAGACTCTACTAGCAGTAATTTTATTCCTCAGTGTGACAATAAGCCATGATGCTTTTTCTCTCAGCATTTTCCCTCAAGACTTTAGATTTCAAAGAAATAAAGATTTTGTTTGCCTCTCTTTGAAGAGTTTTAAAGCCTTAGAGAGGAAGGAGAAATATTGTTTATGGACACAATGTTCTTCTTGATGTACTTGAAATTACATTACATAGACAGATTTTCATTGTTTACAAATAATATAAATTATCTTGGAGTCAAAAGATGTGGTCTTATGCCCTAGCTAAATAACCTCATAGAAGTCACTTCAGCTTTGTACCAGTTTATTAGCTAAGGTATAGGTTAGTGTAAAACTTGAATAAGATAAAATATATAAAATTATTTAGCACCCTATTAGGAAGATGGCAGCATACTTTTTCTATTTTTTCTTTTAATTATTCAATCATTCTTATAAGGTCAGTCTTATTTCTAAATGCTCACATTTTCATACATACGTATCTGTGCTTAGAGACAGTTTTCCACTCAGTATGACAGAGTGATCTTAGGGAAAACAGGAGATTTTATACCTGGCTGATACAGAAAATGAAAGGAAATCACAAAGCAAGAATTCCCTCCTACTCAGCTCCCAAAGTTCTGCTGCAATACTCTCCCGAGCAGGATTCGTCACACACTAAAACAGGAAATCTACAAATGTGTGAGTAAATGATCTTTTATTAAAAGAGAATATGAGTCCATTAGTGGAAAAAGCCATGCACTTGGAATGAGAATGAATTTTAACAATGTCTAGTCCCAACGCTAGCACTAATCATGCAATTTTGGAAGAGCCCTCAAAATCTCTGTTTTCCTTCCTCACTTCTTGTTCTACCTACCTTATTTGTCTTTGGGGAAACTTTATAAGAGTAGATTACAATGTGATTTAGACAAAAACCTTTGCAAGATATATAAAGTAAAAAATCAAAACAACAACAATAACAACAACAAAAAAACACCCAAATCAAACAGTGTTGTTGTTTTGTTTTGTTTGTTTGTTTTGAGACAGAGTCTCGCTCTGTCTCCCAGGCTGGAATGCAGTGGCCCGATCTCAGCTCACTGCAACCTCTGCCTCCTGGGTTCAAGCAATTCTCCTGCCTCAACCTCCTGAGTAGCTGGGATTACAGCTGCGTACCACCACACCCGGCTAATTTTTGTATTTTTAGTAGAAACGGAGTTTCACCATGTTGGTTAGGCTGGTCTTGAACTCCTGACCTCGTGATCCACTGCCTCGGCCTCCTAAAGTGCTGGGATTACAGGCGTGAGCCATTGTGCCCATCCCAACAGTGTATTTTTAATGAATATCAAAATGATAGTAAAACAAGGTTGAGTGAAATTTCAACCTCTTAATACTCAAAAACATATTTTAAAAACGGAGACATTGGGTCAATATTATACTCTTAACTATGATGTGTCAGATCACTACATTTGATTTTTTTACATAGAAGAAAAAATAATGTAAAAGTATTACATTCTTTTCTAGACAGTAAGCAACTTATCTTCTCTGATATTTCTTTTATATTAAAACTCAAGTATTCATTTGACAAATATGTATTGAATGCTGACTTTAGGCCAGGTACAGTTTGAGGCTGTCAGGTTAAATGAAATAATAGAATAGATAGTGACCCATGCCCTTATAAAATTCATTCTATTGGGAAATGATGTTATATTACATATATTTATACATATGAAGTATATATTATGAATAATTAAATTATTTACAGGTTGGAAGATGATAAATGCAATGGTGATGAAATATGTCAGAGTAAAGGAGATTGTGAATGCCGGATTAGAGGTGAGTGTTGCAATTTTAAATATGGAAGTAATGATAGTCACATCGAGATGATCACTTTTAAGCCAAGACCTCAGGAAGATGTGGGACTGAACAATATCATTCTTTGGGAACAAAGAGGAAAGAGCTAGTAATAAGGTTTTAATGTGAGATCCTGGACAGAGAGTGCATTTAAGAAACCACAGGGATCTAGCTGGAATGGAATGAGAAGAGTGAATAATAGAATATGCAAGTAGGTTGGTTATGGAAATGAATAGATTGTGCAAGATCTGATTGACTCTTACAAAATTTGGCTTTTACTCTGTGTGAAATGGGGACCACTGGAGAGTTCAGAGCAGAGAAGTAACATAATCTGACTTTTGTTTAATAAGATTGCCCTGTCTGATCTGTCGAGAATATCCTGCAAAGAGGCAAGTGTAGAATCAGATCATTTAGGAGGATACTGCAATAATCTGAGAGGTGGTGGTGACTTAGATGAAAGTGGTATCAGTGGAAGCAGTGAGGTGTGGTCAGATACTAGATATATTTTGAAAGTGAAATCAATAGAATTGGTGAAGAATTGGATATAGAACATGAAAGAGAGGAATCAAGGATGACTCGATATTTTTGCCTTGAGCAAACAGAATTGCCATTGACAGACTTGGGGAAAAGTGAAGGAAGAATAGATATGTGGGAAAGGTTCTGGGTATGTTGTTTTGAGATATCTACTAGGCATCTGTAGAGGCCAAAGCAACTCCATCTTGGATGCTAATCTGGCAAGCTGGCAATGATTAATCCCTGTTCTGGGAGCCCTCTAAGATTTCCAGTGTATCCATTGTTTGTTGTGTAAGAGCAGGTACTTATCATAAATGTTGCCTGTAGGTCAAACAGCTGTGATGCTATCATACTTCAATTGTCCTGTACATCCCTTCTGAACCACCCCTCCCCTACAGTATAAAGGCCCTGGATCTGGAGAGTAATGGAATAGGGATCCACTGTCTGTGTTGTCTCATCACCACTCAGGACACAGACATGAGTTCTCTTTGTAACCCCTTATTAAGACTTGTTTTCTAAAAAACTGGATCTTTTAGCCTCTTTCTTTGGCCTCTCAACTTCCTTGGGCTTTGGGGCGGTTTGCACAGACCTGTCCACCATGAACAGCATCTAAGTGGATTTGTTAGAAATAAAGTGTACATTTTAGTGTGGAAGCAAAAAGTTGGGAGTTGTCCTCTTGTGGATGGTACTTAAAGCTAAAGATTAGATAAATCACCAAATGACTGAACACTGCTACAAAAGAAAAGAGTATCAAGCACTGAGCCCTGGGCTATTCCAACATTAGGAAATTGAGGAGAAGATGAGGAACCAGTAAAGGAGGCCAGTGTGAGGTAGGAGTTCACCAAATGAAATGGTGTGTTTCAGGCCATGGAAAAGGAAAGAGAGAGGAAGGTGGAGAAAGAAAGAGTTGAAAAACATGAGAATATGATGTCCCCAAAATGACCACTGGATTAAACATCCTTGAAGCCATAAGAGCAGTCTTGGTGGAGTGCTGGAGATGAAAACTCTGTAGAAGTAGGATAGAAGAGAATAGGGTGAGACTAACTAGAGAAAAAGTGTATACACAGCACCTTTGAAGATTTGTTATCCAAAAGGAAATGTGAGTGATTGGTCAGAGTGGTGGGAAAAACTATAGGGAAAGGACGCAAACCTTCTGAAAGTTCAGAAGATTCTGCAGAGCCCCGGGAAAGAATAACTGAAGGCAGCTGTTCTATAACCCTGAGGCAGAGGGCAAGGAGCAGGTACAAGGGAGTATAGGGGGCTTTCTCTTAAACAGGTTCATCTACTTATGTTGACCTGGAACTGACCTTTGATCATCCACGCACCTGACGTTCCCTGAAAGGGGAACAATAAATGTTAATTACCTACAGGTTGTTTTTGCTCCAGGTTTTCGGCATTGAGCTTGCACTGAATAAAAGCAAGCAGCTCCAGCTTCTCAGGGTTGCTCTCTGGCCACCAGAGCCAGGCTGTCACCTCGCTGTTCTTACAGTACATACCTGTGTCTGAATACTCATTTCATCCATCTGCCAGCATCTGCGGGACAGACCCGGCAGGTGGTGCCCCACGTGAGGAATGCTGCAATGGATGGCGATGAAACCCTCGAGAATGAAAGTGAAGTGACTGCAAAGTAAGTAATTGGTGACTGGTGGGGATTTCAAAGTTTGAGGGGATTTTCAAGCTAGGGTTTCATCATGGGACAAAGTTATCAGCTCAACAGCAACAGTATACAAATGTATTGAAACAGCTGCTTAAAGCTAGTGGAGCCTGTGTCTCGGAGGCACAGTTAAGGGACCTAATGCAAACTGTTGCTTTCTATAACCCATGGTTCCCAGAAGAAGGTATGCCAAACCTAGAGCTCTGGGAACAAGTGGGGGAGAAATCTTAACATCATGCACAAGGGCAACAGGTCTCACTAACATCTTTAACATTATGGGCCTTAGTCAGGGCTGCTTTGTCCCCACTCTACACAGAAGAGCCTTAAAAGGGAAGGAAGGAAGAACCATTATCTACCTTACCGCCTCCTCCTCCTCCCTCAGTCCCACCATTACTGGGTAAAGGTACCACAGAGGAAACAAATATTTTCTCTGAGCCCCCTCCCCCAATAAATTGGAAAAAATACAAGGGATACACTACCGTTATGGGACCCTGTCTTAGGCAAGTGGAATTAGAAGGGGAACTCTTGACCTGCCCAGTGATGCAAGATCAACAAGGCAAACAGGTACATGAACCCACTGCTTTCAACACTTCTAAAGAAATGAGAAAAAGCCTTAGAGAACAGAGCCGCTAGCCCATTTATGAAAGGATTAATTGAGGCCATAGCAGACTTCCATATGACCCCATGGGACCGGTCAGTGCTAGCTAAAACAACTTTAGAGACCAGGTAATACCCCCTCTGGCAGACAGAATATGATGAACTGTGCGAACAACAAGCCAACCAGAATCAATTGGCCTGGCAAAACATAACAGCTGCTCTCTGGCCACTAGGGCCAGGCAGCTCTAGCTAGCTGCTCTTCTTACATTGCATACCTGTGTGTGAGTACTCATTTCATCCATTAGCCAGGGTCTGTGGGACAGACCTGGCAGGAGAGAGAAAATTTAGGATGTTAATTGGCAGAAGAGAAAGAAAAAGGATATTCATTTTAAGTTGGGAGAATTTATATGCTGACAGGAATGATTCCATAGAGAATATGGAATAGATACAGTAGGAAGGAGGGAAAATGTTAGGTCAGTGTCCTTGTATGAGAAGGGATAAGATCTAGAAGACAAATAGAGGTGTTAAGCCAGCACAGATAGGTCAGAGAGAGGAGCAGAAGGTAAGGCTGATCATATAGGGACAAGAAGCAGTAGACTGGTGAATATGGTGGAACACAAAGTAAAACCTTCTTACAATTCCTCCCATTTCCCCCAGAAACTTCTGGCGTGTTTTTTTATATACATAAAGCAAAACAAATGTAATGCTGAAGTTCATTTGGTTAGCAGTTCAGTGAGTACAAGTTTGTTTGAACATGATTGTTTCATGTACTATTCACAATGATGGTAAGATTTTATGGAAGTTCCAGAAAGTTGTGAGCTTGAAAGAAGAATAATTTACCAGATAAGATTGTGTATGAGTAAACATAAGAACATTACGAGGTATAAAATTATCTAGTTAACTGCAACCTAATGAATATCTTCTAAAATAATAGCTTTTATTGTTAACTATTGGGTTATGTAAAGTAATAGGGAGGAACATTTAAAAATGTAGGGCTACTTGGGCACTATGGATATCGTAGACTATCATCAAATTCAGAAGTATTTCAGTGACTTTTCAGCAGAATTTTGAGAGAACAATACAATAGTAATAAAAAGAAGTTTCACTTTTCTAGAAATGTATCAATGACTGTTTTGAGGCCTCTGAGGAATGGGGGAAAAAGATGTGTAGATGATTTTTTTGTTTCAATCAAATTCTATTTCATTATATGTTGTGTAACTTTAGGTACAATTCTCATCAGACAGCACAGGCATAGTTGTTCAGTTGGTCAATTAATGTTTCCTTTTGTTTAATAATGCAATTATAATATATCTGATTTTGGTTTAATAATGGAATTACATATGATTTAGCCCTCATTCTATTTTAAACTCTTCCCTGTTATTCATTCTAGCAAAGGTATGATTAGGAAGTTGTCTTAAATACATGGATTTGATTTTTGGCCAGGAAGTTAGTTCTGTGTTGTCATTGGGATGGTGTGTTTTAGAAAAGAATATAATAGATCTAGTAGGGTTATGAAATAAGAAATACAATTCCAGAGACATCCTTCCCAAATCATTATGCAAATCACAAACTGTTGACTATAAGGCTGTCCTTTTATGTTTATATGGATTGAATAATTGCGAAGACTTCAGTAAGCTATGTGTATATATCACATAATTATTAGTATAATACTCTATTTTATCCTTTTTTGGAGTATAGTATTGGTGATGGACAATGAGGAAATATAAAAGAATATGAAAGCTAGAGCCAGCCATATGTGTGGAGCTTTTGCACAGCAACCTTTAGGCAAGTGAGAATTTTGTGGGGAGTTTGGATAACTCCTCAACTATGTACTTTACCTGTTTCAATACAGGGTTTAGCACAAACATGTTTAACATGGAAATGTGCAGGTTTACAGCTTGACTTTTAACATGTTTATTATGTGATCACTAGTACAATAACCAGTGACTTGAAAATTATTTGTAGGGTGTGTATAGAGTGTCATCAAATTGGTTCATCTATCAATAATCAATCTCAAAGACAAAAGAGATTTCCTTTCCAGAACTAGTCATTCTGACCCTGTCATTCTGCTTTTAAGAATTTTTCTCAAGGAAATATCCCAAAGTGCAGATTTTTAAACAGCCGTGATTCATGAAGATGTTAATAAAACTTTATTTACTAGAGAAAAGACATAATGAATGGAACAACATGTAGCTTTTTGTTCCTCTATTTTGGAAAATACTGTGCAGACATAAAATTTATTTGTTAAAATATATAACAATTTGAGGAAATAGGACAAATTTTAGAATGCATGTTTCATATAGTGGTTTAAAATATCTTCAGTCAAAAAGATACACACACATATGTATATATAGTTTGCTTTTGCAGAGAGGTAGAAAATATACCAAAATGCAAATAGTAGTGATCTTTTGACCATAAAAACAGATGCCTTTTTTTTAAAAAAAAAAAAAAAAGCACTTTAAACATTCATCAAATAATTTGACTTTTATGTAAAATGCTGGTGTAATGGTACTTACCTTGAGTTTGAACAATGAGCCAGAGTACAGGCAGCAGGACCCAAGACATGGTGGCTACCGCAGGTAGCTGGGAGGTCCCACACAGCATGAAGTTGTGGTCTCCCCAGTGTCCAGTTTTATCTTCGCCAATTTCTCTTTAGAAGTTGAACAAGAAAATTAAAACTCCCACTTTTTGTGTGAGATTGGGGAATGTTTCTTAAGAGTGTTGGGAAATTGTCAAAAAATTGCAGTGTCAACATCATGAGAATGTTCCTCATCTTTGAGAGATATTTACGGCTGTGGTTATAGCTCGTTAAGGACTCACATCTGGACACTGTTTGCCCTTGGTGCTCCTATAGCAGTGGGAATGTGTAAACTGAGACTGAGGTGCTCGCGTGCATATCTACATACTCGCCAAACTGGACCATCACGATTGCTGTTCAGTATCTTTATAGAAATAAATCCGCATATTTAGGACATATATCAGCATTCTGTACATATTTCGAGAAACTGTCACAGTGAACACAATCTAAAAAGCACCAGGCAAAGTCCTACAAACCAAGATACTGCAAATCTCTCAAATGTTCAGTCTCCTTATGAGTCAACAGGGGATGCTGATAATATTAACTACCTCAAGATTCTTATAAAATTCAAATGCATTTGCACACACATGTGCACATGCATGTAAAATTGTAAAGAAATGTGCATGTATAAGAAATGTACAAAAAATGTAAATAACCTTGACAGTGCTAGCCTTGAACAAACTCTACAACCTATGAAATATGTTTCAGGTGTACTTTTTGAGTTCTACCTTATAAAATAACAATGTTTCTCTGACAAATATGGTAGATTTTCATGATCATAATATCACAAGTTTATTATGGGGAAAAAAGTTGATTGCCAATGATCTAACATCAAGAAATAACTTCTGTTAACATTTTTATAATGTATTTTCATCTTTTTATGGAGAAAAGGAAAGCTAACCTTATTGGGCAAAGGGTTTAAGAAACTTGTTTTTTCAAGGCACTATAACATTAGCATTAAGCATTCTCATGACATTGAATATTAAGATGTAATTTTAATGACTATCATATTTTGTGCATACGTTTGTGTTGAGTGTCCATGCAATGTGTGGTTGTGTGTATTTCTTTAACTGAATTTCTGGCGACTTCAGGATAAATGTCTAGAAGTGCTGTTTAGCTAAAAAGGTTAAATCAACTTGAGATTATTGATAAACATTGACTCAGTGCTTTTCAGAAAGTTAGGGCCAAATTAAATTACTATGTATAGAATTTTCCCAATCTAAAAACCCATACCTTCTAACTGCTGAACTTACTTTCCACTGATACATCTGGGAGTTTCTTAGCATCTAAGAGGAAGTCTAAAAATCCCCTCTATGTCTATTCTTCATTTTGTTGCTGTTCTAGCTTCCTTTAAAATAGTAGCATTTTCTCTTATAATTTTGCATTTCTCTTTCTGGTCCAGAAGATAAGCATTCTTCTTATATCCTTTGTGATCCGCCTTGAATATTTTAACAAAGTATAATTCTAATTATGTCTCTATCAAATAATAAAAGAATCCTGGAATGGTGAACTCTTATCAGTGCCTTACTCTTTGCCACCTTGGATGTTGTCAAGTATTTCAGTTTGTTATGATTTTGACCCCCATGTTACTCACTATTTTTGTGTTTTCTACAGATGTTTGAAATTACTCATGTGTACCAACTCTTTGCTCACAGGTCCTTTTAGCATCAGTTATTGTTTCTTTTTAATTCTTCATTAAGCATATTCGTTTTTATTATTTCCATAGGTTTTTGGGGAACAGGTGGTATTTGGTTACATGACTGAGTTCTTTAGTGGTGATTTGTGAGATTTTGTTGCA